TTCATATCAAAAGACATACAATTGACTGAATAATTGTAAAAGTATTTTCTTTCATCCATTTGTATGTTTCGGCCATTTCTTTGACACCAATCCTATATTTAACAACTATTTTCCGCAAACTTTTTTATTTAAATAATTGGATATCAATCTAACCAAAAACTTATTCAATAACTTATTCTCCTTATTACTGATTGTTTTAGGGTAAAAATGGAGAATATATTAGGATTAGTGATATTATTGTGGGCATCGGTGGCAGGAGTGATGTGCCAACAGATTATGCCCAATCAGCCCATAACGGATGCCAATCAAGTGGGAGCGTCGCCCGTATTCTACACCGAAGTGATCGCCAAACAGTGCATTGATATGAATCAAGGAGTCGTCGGCCGTTCTTTTCCCACCGGACAGAGTGTCGAGAGTTTCATAGCACTCGTCGAACTGTTGGAGACACTCATCTACAACGGCACAGATCAGGCCCTCGTTCAGCACATGGGCGCCGAGAATGTGGCCAGACTTTTGCTCAGGAGGTATGTCTTGTCATCGTATTGTTAACGTATTTCCACCATAATGTTAATTCACACCTATATTATCAGTATATAGAAACTATAATGTACTGAACAATATAATGAATATGAGTTAAACTAGATTAACTTAATCACACACATTGAATTGACCATGTTAAATGTAGATTCCGTTTCGACGGCTACGACGACGCCCAGCCGTCGACACTGAAGAAGCAAAAAGATCTGGAGTTCCAGAACTTCAATAATGCAGTGCTGAAGAAAGGCGACGGCCAGACACTGCTCACTGGTTACTACTTTCCCGACCAGTATTTCAAACTGGAAGAGCTCTGTTCGCTGCACGACATGCTCTCACATAATATCTATAACGTTAAAATCCAGCGGCGAGTATCATATGCGCAGGTATTCCGCGGCAAACGCCAGGCCTATCGGCCGCAGAACCAGAATCCGTACCAACAGAACAGGGATCAGAACCAGAACCAGAGGAACAGCTGGAATGCACCCGTCAATAATAACAACAATAATGGGTATTGGCACGATGGAAAGTTCATCAATAACAATAACAACAACAACAATAATAATAATAATCGGCCGCCGATTGCGTCCAACTTCTTGAATAACGGAAATTATGGTCAAAACCGAACTCAAATTCCGATAAAAGAGGAAGGAGTGGCCAGTCTTCGGGCCGACCGGAAAGAGGCCATAGCCATGGCTCGAGTGCTGTTGGGTGTGATCGCCGGCCTATCGATGGACGCCCGGACGCAAGCGAGCGATATATTGAAATCGTGGGGATCTAGCACTCAGATGCAACCGGCTTACGATCAACAGCTGGACCCCGTGGCCGCCATGACTCTGGCCGACCTCTGGAGCATTAACTCCGCGAAGACCAATATTTACGACCAGTATTTATACGGAGTGACCGGACAGTGGGAGACCTCCACTTGTGCCACACATTACGGCCTCGAAAACATACCCGAAGATAAGTTTAAGGATATTGATCACTATATCCGGGCCACGAGGGCTGAGATCAGGGGTGGTATCGATGGGTATCTGATTGGCACAAATTTGCGTTCGCCCCAGTTCCACCTTGATAACCCACAGAGCCTTAGGCTGAGCGCTATATTGCGATCCTATTACTCGAAGCCCATTCAGCCCAAGTCGTCCACATTCTCGGCCTCCGTGTGTGACCGCAATCGTATCGGTCAGGATATCCCCAAAATCCAGGGTTACGCCACGACATACCAGTCCATTGTTGCCACCAGAAATGGGGGCAAATTGCCCGTCGATTTGGACCAGAGGTTTTCGCAGGAGATTCAAAACGCTGTCAGCGGCGCCGGTATGTATAGACACAGCGCAAGTGTCCCGAAGCTTCCGCTCCCCATATGTTATAATTAGAGAGTAATCGCCTCATAAACGCGTCGACACGACAGCTATTATGCGATCGCCGGGGGATCCGGAGGTCGCGTGCGTTCGACACCCGAAACGCGAACCCTTTGCTCCCTATGCTGTCCGCCAGAGGCAGAAAAGTATGGACACCGAGTGGTGGCTGTTGTGACGGTTCCCCAGTGGCGGACACTCACACCCGACTCCTGGCCTCATATATGGCGCACAACCAAACATAACAACATATTTATTTGATTTAGTGATCTATAAATCATTAGCTGTCGCCCCTTTGAGGTCAGATGTCATTAGTATCTATACTAACACTATAATTAACCTGAAGAGTGATCTCATATAAGGGCACCATTTATTGTCTTAAAGTATAATCATATGGTTGTGCGCCATATCTATAGGCCAAAGGGTGTATCCAATCGCTGTCTCGTCACCACAAACTAATCCCAATTATTCCTACTCTTAAATCTCACTATAATTAGCGTTAATTTGATAAATAAATTGACCATTTTGTGTGTACTATAGGAGGTGCGAGTCTTTCGGACTACTGTAATATCCCGGGCAGTGTATACGACAAGACAGCCCCGTGTGAGACCCCATCGGACGTGATCTATGTGATCGACGCCCACGACCTGCAATCGGTGCAGCGGTCGGCCGACATCGTGGCCGCCACCAACTCCTATCTCACTCAGATCAGAGCCGGTGCCGGCGCTATCACCATATTCATCAACAGTCTCGGCGGTAATGACGTCAACAATCAGGTGTGGCTCCCACAGGGCACTTGGCCTTTGGTTCCCGTCGTCTTTAATAGCACAAACACCGGGTGCTCGCAGTGCAGGATCAATGACTTCAACCAAAGTATGTCCTATTTTTGTAATTGTTTTTCAATTAGTGTTTAATATTAATTATCATTGATTTATAGCCCAAAAGTCTGTGGTGAAGAACACGGGCGCGTTTTTCCGCGCTCTGAACACGACCTTGTTCAATTACGAGTGGTGGACTCCACGAACCAACGACTCTGCCATCCCGGCCAAGTCGGCCGTTATCATTGACTTCGGTTCGATGACTGCGGCGCCCGATTCGGGCACTGATCGCGACGACTACAACTACTTCAAGGATCAGCTCCGGTACAGACACCGAGACGTCCGCTTCCTTCCCGTCGCCAACGATCAGAAACTGTTTGAAGACATTATCCCTGAAGGTTACCAAACAGACTCTCCCGGCGGTGATGTCTCCCAAATCGGCCGCAGTTTAGCGCAAAAGATATGCGAAAATCCGGCCACTTTTCAATACAATCTATGTAATGACCAGCGCTCCGATAATATCCAATACACCGGTTTTATTACACCCGGATACAAACAGAATTGGGCAATGTACCCTGAGTTTTTCCTTAAAAGTTTTAATATCAAGTTTGACGTAAGTTTACTTTTGCCACCAAATGGTTGTCATTTTTGTTATGGTTTTAACGAGTGTTTTGTATTGAAAATGAATAGTTTAAAGCGGAAGACGGAAACATTAGGGTGTGTTATGATCGGGTGTTTCCGCCCGAAAACCAGGACTACTGTATTGACCTGAATAGCGGTGAAAATAAACCCTTTGAAATCAATAATCCTTGTAATGAGAGGTCCTTCTCGTCTTGCGATCCGTTTTATTTCACCGTTTGGGGCAAAGAGAGGACCTCTGCCTCCCAGTGCTATGGTATGTATGCCTCCCTTTCCCCTTAACTAGTGTAAAATTTAGTTTTAATTAACTCGTAATGTTTTTTTTGTGTGTTTACAGACCAAAAGTGTGCAAATCTAGATCAAATTAAGTTTACTGTATCGCATACGGGTGTCCAGTGCAGCTCATCGCACAATATCCGGCCCTCCACTACATTCCAGTGCATTTCAGCCGCGATTTTCCTCACAATATACTTATTTTTCAAGAAATAATCAACGATTTTGTAGTTTTATTTGTTTTTGTGTCCGTGTTTTCTAATTAGAGATAATAATAACGATAATATTCTATATTAATCTTAATTAACGTTTTAATTGCTATTAATTTTATAATTATAATTTTGTCAAACGCTTTGCTCTGTATTTGGTTATCAGAAAAAAACAAAAAAGTATTAATTGTATTGAGTAAATGTTTTTATATCTTAATACTTATAGTATTTAATTGAAAATGACTTTTCGTTTATGACTTTTGGAGAAAATAATATAATTTTGAATACATTATTGAAAACATTGTATCAGACATTGAATTTTGTATATTTCCCAAAAACTTTTAGATATTTTTTATTGCATGTATTTTTTCATTGTTTAAAAATAAAAATTCATTTTTGTCGACAATTTTGACAAACTAACTATTTTGAAATATAGCTATAATTAAAGTTTTATCAAATTGAAACATCCCAATTATAGTAAAATAGTACATAATATTAATTTTATGTTTTATCACAAGTAAGAGAATTGTTAAAATGGATGAAAATTATCTGAAATTCGTACATAATATCAAATGAGGAACAAAATAAACATGTTTGTATTACTATACATTATTTGTCTTTACTGAAACATCTACAATTGGTGCTAAATGAGCTATGGGGACTTTGCACCTCAACCCACATCGTTTAGAGTATAAGATACATCAAAATATTATTCACTAAATTTATTAACCACTCTATGATATATACGGTATTATATAAGACATCAATAAAAGTTATCGACAATTGTATGGTTAGGGACGACATTATGAGAAGAGATAACGTGAGTCAGTAATCCAAACACACAAAGCGTTTTAATGCAAGAAATGTCTGTTCAAAACCTTATTAGAGGCGAGGAATTGGGAATTATCTAAAAGAAATTTATTATTCACTTAGCGATTATCACTACTTAATCAGTGTATGTTTGCCATTAAATTGCATTATTATTTGTACAATAACTACAATAACCATACTTTCAATATAATACACATATTCTACTGTAAAGTGAATTGTGGTTTTTTACATCAATTCAATTCACACAGTATTACAGATACCTGTCTTATAGATACCATGGTTTAGATAATAAGGGTGTGGACCCTAACTGTGCGATCGGCTACTAATTAGACACCATTTGTTTTGTTTTAAGACATCCATTGTTACCATTAATTATCATCATTTAATAGTAATATAAATAGTTTGCATTTTATTTTGCATACCATTCATAAGGTAAGCATTTTATTGCCAACGGTTTTTGTTTCTTATCGATTGCTTTCAATTATTTTTGCGGTGATTTATTATATTTTTTGAGTTATGATTATCGACATGAAATATATGCCGGTTATAGTTATTGCAAATAACAACTACTATTGCATATCAATTAATGTTTTATTTGCATTGACATGAGAATCAATTTATGAATTGTTTGATAAGAGACTTAAATGAATAATATTCATGAATATTGAATAAAGTATATGTAATATTTGGTGTTTTATTAGTTAGATATTATTAATTAAATTGTGCATTTATGCTTTTAAAATTTTAAAATTAATAAAATTAATAATTAATTATTTGTAGAAAATATTGAACAAGCTCAAACTTAAGATAATTTGTAAATTTATATGGAAAGGATTAATTTATAAGTATTTGTAAAGTTTTAAGAAATGGTTAAATATTTGTTGGCATTTTAGTTTATCGCAAAATATGTTGAGTATTTAAATATCTATTATAATCCAATTTATTATACATAATATGCCATAATATTGGCACCAATTATATTCAAACAATATTATATATGATTCAATAGTAATACATTTGCTTAACATTTATTGCCGGCAAATATTTAGCCATAAATTTGTTTTACGATAAATCGACGAAAACATAACAAAATACTAATTCATTAAGAATTTAATCATTTACTCCCACTTTAAGTATTTGTGAAATAATAATTGTATTATTGGTCAAACATATTGATTGTTGTTTTATTACAATTATTTTGATGTCTGTGTGAAAAAGCAAATGTGATGATGAGTTTACAAGATTAAGTGAATAAAATAGATAGATATTTTGAATAAATATATTATTATTTTATGATTAACAACTCTTACGAGTTAGATTAATGATGCAAATTTAATGTATAGATTGTAATTTATTAGAATTTTAAAGTGGATCATGATCACTTTAAAAAAAATAAACCACGATTTTCATATTGAATTATATTTTTATAAATTATTGATTAAAAGTATATTTAAAAAACAGAATACGATAGACCCAAGAGTACGTTGATAATAATAGACAATCATGTTAATTAATTCACAATAGTCAATAAATTGTAATGTGCATTTAATATAAGCGAGATTTGTATATTTATAATACAAATGCTATAAAATACAAAACAAGGCAAATATTTTTGCAATTTATTTGTTTAATGCGAGATTTAAGTCAATATATTTATCAAGACAAAAGTATTTCAAAAACTAAACAAAACACTATTACAATTGAATCCAGTTATCAATATCTATTTTTAAAATTAATTGTGAAAAGGATATAAATTACTATAAAAGATATGACAACATTGTAAAGTGCTCATGTCTATATTTAATCATGATGATATGAATATGTAAAATTTAAAATACTATTTAAAATTCATTCATAGCTCTAGTTAGTTAGCTTTATCTGAATTGAGTGTTTCAATGTATTTGCAAAAACTGAGACAAACAAACAGTTTTATTCTCTTTACTTATGAGATTAAATATGAGTTTTATATAAGAATTCATATAAAATAATAATACTTTACAACTCTATAGGTGTTGTACTAATACAATAGGTATATAACTTACAAATATATATTTCCGTTACTAATCAACCGTCGCGTATAGACGTCTCTCGACTGTATATTTCTTACTTAATAGCCATGAAATCATAAAACAAAGAGATAAAAGTAAATTTGAAAATACATATCAAAATTATGTATAACAGTGTGACTAAACATTGTGCTAACTTCCGA